GTCACTTATGGGTAGCTTGTGCAAATTGTAATCAGTTTGGTTATAGTGAATTAAGTCTTCGATTGAGTGAGGCGAAATCACCTTGGGGAATGGACTAGACTAGCTTGATCATTTTCAAATGAACTAGTATAAACATACATTGTTCATTACTTCCTATTCTTACTTATTGTTATTATCAAAAGTGAAGTCAAAAAGGATTTTAACTTAAAGGGGAATATTTTTAAAAGAATAGTTTTGTTTTAAAAATACACTTGGAGGTTTCATGTCTTACAAAACACAAGCTGATATTGAGATATATTAATTGATGTTTTGTTTATTCTTATTTGAGCCCAAAGTGCTTCTTCTAGCCAGTGGCTTCAATTATTCCTATTTGGTTGCACCATCTTTTTTAAAATTTGCTTAGTTTCTCTTTTGAGAAATCAACTTCTCATTAGTTTGTGGGTGACATGGTGTAGAGACTCTATGAATAATCCCATACTTATGAAATAAAGCTTCCATGATGCCATTATAAAAATTAGTGACTTGATCACTTATGATAGCTCGATATATTCTAAACTTGTAAAAAAAATTTGACATGAAAAAATATGTAACAACTCTAGAATCATTAGTCCTACTGAGTATTTCTTCCATCACTTTGAAACATAATGAACAACAAGTAATATGTAAAAAAAAACAAAAGATATATGGAAATGGCCCATAAAGTCAAGTCACCACACATCAAATATTTTAGAGAAAGGAATATGGTGCTGGAATGGGATAAATTTAACTGGACATTGGAATAGACCAATCCATAACCCAATCAGACCAAGAGCAATATAATAGGTCATATGATAAGTTGAGAGGGCGTAATGTGGTATATCGTGATATTGTCTGACTTGAATCGGTCAATTTGGGCAAGGGTGCCCGACCCAATCTAGAGCTATTGAGTGGCAATGCCTTTCGCATGTGGAAGAAATTGTGTCCCTATGAGAGTTTGTTGTTTTCACTTCTCCAACAAAGAAACCATTTCTCATATTAATAGGGAGTATTTAGTCTTCCTATTCCTACATCATAGTCAAGAAGTTGAGATGGAACCGGTTCTTTACCCATTAATTGGCCTATGGACCGTGTAGATAAATATTCCAACCTCTACGATTAGGAGATATCATTCATTAATCATAGTACCGAGTCTATTAAAACCCTTTATCACTCCTCATGCGAGCAAGGTTCCTCTTGTTGTATTTTCCACAAGTATAATTGGCGCATATTATGGGGCCTTAGTAAAACTAACCCAGGCCACATGTAACACCCCCAATTTATATTATTATATTTATTTAGATTATTTATGAATTTTCTATATTTTTTAAATTATCATGTGGTGGTAATTAAATAAAGGTGGGTGATAGGAAAGGTGTGTGACCTCATAGTGAGAGTGTGAGGAGTAATTAGAGGAGGATATAAAAATTTAGAATTATTTTATTAATAAAAAAATGTTTTAGTTTTATTATTTAAAAAAAGAGAACTAGAACAATTGAGTCAAATATGAGGATTAAGAATGTTATGGGGGAGGAAGTAAGAAGTAGGAAAGTTTGGGCTAAGTGTGTAATTTTGAGAAGATTTATTCTAAGTATAAGATTATGAGATAAACCTAGAATTGAAAGAATTCTAACAGTACATAGAAAGAAGAGAGAAATATGCTAGAGGCTAAAGGAGACAAGAGGGATGCTAAAGGTTGAAAGGAGAATGAAACAACCGGCTGAAAATCATCAGACAATGAAGTCATCATCAAACGTCTTCTATCCCACGTGAAGGGAAAGGTAAACATCAAGAAAACATGAGAAGGGAGAAGTCACGGTCTTGCGACTGAGAGATCGAGTAATGGAGTCTGTTACGTAAGGGGAAGGTATTAGCACCCCACACACCCGTAGTACTCTATGGTCTCCACTCTTGTTATCTATCTTATGGGTGTCTTTAATCTATGCTTACTGTTCACTACTGATGAAGAATGCATGCAAAAGAAAAGAGAAAATAATGTAGGGAAAATAAAGTTGTGCTCGCTTGGGCCCTACCCCAATGCCTACCTATCCTTTTTGAGGAATTAGAGTTACCGTAGTTCGGCTCACACATTTTTGTTTGTTTTGTGTTTTTTATGAATGTTAATTCCGCCTTCTGTCGCAGCTCGACCTTTGGAGACTCACGCGTTGGCACAGAAGTAAATTAATCATGTCCTTAGTTGAAAATATTTTGAGTTACGGCCTCAAGGCAAGATGCCACCTTTGGTTGGTTTATGTTTTGTTACCTTAAAAAAGGGTTTAAGTGTGATTAGCATGCTTAATGATTTGCTACAAAAAAGGAAGTTTTAGTTTTAGATGCAAGGATGTAAAAAGGGGAAGAAAAGAGTCTACGAGAGACTAGCCTACATCTAATCCTAATGTTATCATACAATGGTGGTCATAAGGTTTGGATTAAGAAAAGGGAAAAATCTACCTAATGTTAGCATGCATGATTTGCAACCTAAGGTCTAGCATACATCCGAAAGGAACAAGCACATCCTAAGGGAACATGGTATAGAAAGTAGGTACGCAAACAAGCTCGAAAGAGCACACACATAAAATGGTAAAGAAAAGAAGAAAAATGCTTTAGCCAAGGGGAGCGTATCACCCGAGACAAACAAGCAAGAATAGGATGTAAAACAAAATGTGATGTCCAAAGCGACTGAACACCTAACCAAGATATAGGAGATTTAGGTAGGCCACAGAAGGCAATATAAACGATCACGGAGTATCAACATTAGCCAATTCGAACTCTTGACAAAGTGGGTGGGGGGGTTGATTATAAAACCCTTCCCCACTTGACGACACGATAACAAGAGCAGACACAACTCTAAAGCATCGTGGTGCATCACGAGCTAAGGATAACACTGAAGAAATTGCGGGACTTGATTGCGAACCCTCACCACTCTCATCTTTTGAGGACTTATCATCTATAACATATGCAGGAACAAATATAAACACACATGCGAAATACCTACTTCAAAGGTAGGATTTTAAACAAACATAAATAGAAGAAAAAAATGTACACAATGCAGAATTACCCTTAACGATTCTTTAAATAAACCAGAGGGATTCCTGAAATGATCAGCAACGGATATCCCCTCCATACATATTTATCCTACTTCTCATGGCAAAGAAAGCAGTAAAGCCATACTTCTCATGATCTCTATAAAAGCGGTAAAGAAATGTGGTAAAGTGCGAAGAAGTACAAAGTTCGTAGCGATGACTACCACAAGCAAGCTAATCGTTGAAAGCGAACGAAAGCGATGGAGAAGTGGGGAGTACGCGTCGAGCAAGCTTCACCAGGAAATAAACAAAGTTAGAAACAATATCCAACTAAGATAAAAGCAAACGTGTGTTGCGAATGCAATGTGTAAACATGAGTTCCTTCACAAAGCATCATAAAATATCACATGCATCTGGACAACATATAATATGATATGAATTTCTTAGAACGATGAGAAATAAGGTGTGTCGCATCGGAAGCGAGCATAAGCCATATGCTTCGATCATATAACAACTTGTTGTGTTACATGATAGAAAGCAAAAACAATGTACCTTATACAATGAACAAACTCGTCAAAAATAACGAGGCACGACGATACTAAGTATTAATAAAACTAAAAGAAAAAAGTATTTTTTATTAGTTTTTATGTGAGAAAATTCTTAAAAAAACTAAAGAATTAATAGAAACATTCTGTTATATTCTACCATTTTCATTAATGTTTTTTGTTACATCACTTTTTTTATTAACACATATAAACAATTATGAAAGGGAAAAGCTAAAGAAAAAACTATAAAATTACACAGGGGGTGTCAGCTTGAAACAAGGGATATGCAGAAGCAGTCTGGGCGCTAGGCCCATTTGCAGAAGTGATAAAGAGAATTTATTGTTCAACTTTATTATGCCAAAAGAAATAATGACCGGGCTTAGAAAAAATTGCTTGAAGCTAGGCCCAACGTTACTCATTCAGTCCATTAACATCACCAAATCATCCAATTCCAAGTCCTCTTTCCCAAAAATTTCAGCATCAACCTTATTATTAATTGATTTATTAAAATAATTAAAAAAAGGAAAATGAAAATAGGAGGATACAATGTCATTTGGTCAATGATAGGTTAACAAATGTACCTCTTCAACTCCCACAAGCCATTCCTATTCTTCCTACCTTCTCAGAAATGGCGTCATTCTCATCTCACTCTCATTGCCTTCGCTTCTTCTTCTTCCTTAACACCCCCGTGAAACAAACACCATGACCACCATACTTCATGGAATATCATCATCTCCTTCAATCTCCACTCTCTATGAAATTACTTTCTCCGATTCACTTTCTTCATCTCTTTTCCGCCCTCGACGTTGTTCATCTCTGCCTCATATCTAACCTCTCATTGTATTTGTCGCGTCACCGCGCCTCCACAAACACACTCCTTACATCACTATCTCAATGATTCTAACCGAGCCCTCCCTCATCCTTCAATTTTGTTCATACTCGCGATAAAATACTAAAAGATGGATTTCTAAATTCAAGCAAGGTGATGTATGTGAATTACACAGAGAAGTAGAAGAAGTCAGAACCTGTACCTGTGACTTGGAAAGACATAATAGAAAGCCAAAGGTGAGGTAATGTAATTGATCTTATTTTCTTCTGTATTCTTCTTTGTATTCTGTGATTTCTTCCGTGTGTTGGTGTATTGGTGCAGAAACGTTGTTGCGTGCGATGTGTTGCATTGTTGTTGAGCGAAACAAAGAGTTGTTGTTCTTGCGGTTTTGAAGAAGAACGAGAATGATGACGGAAGATACGATGCAGTTGCGAAGTTGTTATCACATTAATGTGAAGCAGATGAAGACGAAGATGAAGGAAGAGGCATGCATATATGATGATATCGATGCTGGGTGATGAAGTAGATTGAAGGTTGAGGTGATGATCAAAGAAGATGATGACATAAGGTTTTTGAGTTTTGCAGAGAATGATTGAAGCAATCGATAAAATAACGATTTCTGGTGAGTTTTGTAACTGATTTTTCTGTGACCCTTTTTTGGTGAATTTATGTGTGTTGAATGATGAATAGTCCAATTCCTCCTCTCTTTTCTATTTTCTGTTATATCCCCCGCTGGAAGTTTGTTACAGAATTAGTTAGGACAATTAGAGAATTGGTTAGTTTGTTAAGGAGTTAGTTAGGGAAGAGGTTGGAAAAGTTTTGATTCGGTTATGAAATGGTTAAGAGCAGTTCTGTTATGGTTTTGTGCCACCTTCATCTGAGCTAGCAGACCTATTGTCTAAACCTGTGGGTGATGTTCCAGAAGCATCTGTAGATTGCCCAATAATTATGCCGCTTAAGGAACCTTCTGTAACTTATGAAATTTGAATGTAATCTTGAAACCTTTTGAACAACATTTATTATTTGTTTGTCATGAGATGAATTTTGATCCATGGTCATGAGCTATTTTATTTTTGAAATCTTATTCGAACTGATTTTGAACTGTTTTACATTGGTAAATTTCGGACAAATTTTGGTTCCATTTAACATGGTAATCACATTAGTTTTGGATGAATTCTTGATGTGTGAATTGAACAAGTTTGGATCATGATGGTGAGTAGTGTTGAAAATTATTTATAGTATCCAGAGTGGTATTGAAATGATGTTTCCAGTATTGAACAATCCTTTGCGCAGCGATAGGTTTATATGCAACTTTATCCATTTTCATAACATCTAAACTAACAAGGTGTGATACTTGGTATCTTTTTCCACCCCATTATAGTTTATTTGATGCAATGGTAATCTATCTTGAGAATCTCCATTATTAGAATTAGTATCTTGATGCTGATTAGTGTTTCCATCACCATAATCCTTAGCATGCTTCCAAGGACACTCGTCATTGTTACATCTTCCTCGCAACTCACTAAATACACTCCCTAAAAAGCATAGGTGGAATATTGACTGAATTAGTTGAGTGAGGATCTTGAAAAGGAATATCCCCTCTGAAATTAATCTTATTTGATATATGCACGCCAAACCATTGTGAAACCTTAGCTTGTAAGGTCCTTGATCCCATGCCAAATTTATTGATGATGCATGATTTATTATATGACCTAATGGAAGTTATGTACATGAGAAAAGTGATAGGTGCATAAGCCATATAAAAATGAAAGGGTAGGACAAATTTAGGGTATTACAGAGAATCCATCCACACTAATTCCCATTCAGATTTCTTGCTAGAAATTAAAGTAAGGGGGAGAGTAACCTTAATAATATATGCATGAAAGGTAGGTAGAGGAGTCCTTAACCTCTAATAGGTTTAAAATGAATGTGTATGATTTGTTGTGTTATTATATGAATCTAGAAATTGGTAATTCATTGGTGTTACAATTTATTTTGGATGATGAAATTCGTGTACCCTTTACCAGGAAAATATACCATGTATATGTGTTGTTGATTTGGAATGATAAACATGAAATTGTATGACTTAATCCATATAAATTTGGTTAAATTGATGTTATGGATGTATAGTTATGTGTGGTTGTCTGTTTTAATATGTGTACCATGTTTGTAATCGAAATTTGGAGGACTGGGGTCTGAAAATCGAAGCTTGAAGGTGCTCTATAGCTAAAATCTTGATTTTTATTTTCTGGTTCAGGGTGACGGGTGTCACCAGCGTGATGGGTAGACCGTCAAGTGCCTTAAACCGTTGACGGGCATCATGGACTTGAGACTTGTGCAGTGAGTCTGTTTTGAAGGTATAAAATGCAATTTTTGGGTTATTTGACTTTTAAGTGACTGTTTGAATTTTATTGAGGCTGAAGTGATGAAAATTAATTAATTTAAAATTATTTAGTCGAGTAAATGTTGATTGGTGCGGGTTTTGATATTGTGTTGAGAATGAATTATGAGTTGTGTGATGTTATAATACATTGAGTATATGGAATTATAATTGTTGTGTTGTTGTATTGATATTTTGCACAAATGTGAATTATTGTTGTGTGTTAATCCAGAGAGAGGATTACGAGATTTGTCATTGCATAATCATTGGGCGACCTACTTTTAACCTCATAGGGTCTGCGTTATCAACTCTCTACTTGAGCACGAAGTATCCACTGAATAGTTGGCGTATTGTCTTGATTCAGAGAGATCAAGAGACCATTCATATAAGCTACCAAGACAAATTGAGAATCAAAAGAGCGACGATGGCAATATGTGTCGCACCACAACCAGACCTCCATGGGGTGAACTTCGTGGATTTAGATCCCAGGGAAGAACCTGAAATTGAAAATTCCTACACAAGAACTAGAGGAAGTCCAAATTGGGCTGTTGAAACTCCACACTATTAAGTAAGAACCTCCATGAGTAAAACTGAAGTAGAGAAGTTGGTCTCCCTACTATTTAAGAATATTTATTTGTTTGCTTGGACCCCTTCCAATATGAAAGGGATTGGCACTCGAGTTGTATGTCATTTCTTTTCCATTAACTCAGAGAAAATGCAAAGTAGGTGAGGAAAGTGGGAAGCCATTGATAAAGAATTTTGGAAATTGAAAGAATCCATTTTCATAATTGAAATTAAATACCCAACTTGGTTGGTGAACATATTGTTGGTTTGAAAGTCGTTCTAGAAATGATAGATGTATGTGGATTTCACTTATTTGAACCTAGTGTGACCTAAGGACTCCTACCCGTTACCAAACATTAACAAGTCAATCAATATGTTATCAGGGTACAAAAATTTGAGCTTCATGGACTCCTACAACCATGTCAAGATTGACCATTTGGATGAACCCAAGAGTGCATTAATGTTCAATAACTGTAAATATTATTACGAAGTCATGCTTTTCAAATTAAAGAATGCAAGCACAACTTATCAAAGGTTGATGGACACTATCACAATGAAAAATAGAAGAGACCAAGATATTGAGGAACTTGACTCACAAAGACTTAAGAAGTCACCACTGAACTTTATTATTTCCAAGGAAAGGGGAAAAGATCGAAACCCTATTGTTTAACATGCAATGCAAGAAGTAAAGACTAAAAGCAAAGCAGTAAGAAGATATCCATGGTACGTGGGTTGATTATACAAAGGGAAGGTATTAACACCCTATGTATCTATAGTACTTTATAGGAACCACTTACGATATTATTTTTTTGGTTTAAAATTGTTTTTCTTCTAAATGAGTGTGGAGCAGGGAAGAGAAAATATTTTTATTATATTTTTGTTTGGAAAGAAATAGTCTTATACCTACGTACTAATTACGAATCAAAACCTCGTAGTTCATGGTAAAAAAAATGGTTTGTCGTGGTTGATTTTATGAGAATAGATATTTCATCATCTTTTAGAGAGAAAAATCAACTAATACCACCACAAGTATGAGAAGATGGATCTTGTATCATCATAAAGGAAGGTGTAATACGGTGTGAGAACTGACTTTTTGGATTTGTGTTTTATCGCAAATGTTGCGGATAGCAAGAGTCGCCACCGACTTTTCTTTTATCCAATAAAGGAAAGGATGAAAAGAACATGAAATACCTTTGAGAATTTTTCTGAGTTCGGGGGATAGGTTATGAAAAGGGAAGGTGTTAGCACCCTTTCCATCCGCAGTTATCTACGGGCTCTTAATTTCTAGCCCACTTTTGAAAATGCTTTGTGTTTGTGTGTTTTGAAAAATATTTTGAAAAGATGCCTAAGTGCGGAAAACTTTGTAATGATTCTCATATCGTTGAGAATGCATACAAAAGTGTTTATCTTTGAAAATATTTTAGAAAAGAGAGTGTATGTGTGAAAAAATTGTTTTGTTTGTGAGCAAGCGACTACGAGCTATCTACCTACTCAAAAAGTCTTTATTCTTTTCCTCATTTCCCTTGGATAGTGCTATCCTACCATTAGTTAGTAGGTAGTCCTATCATTGAATGTTTTGAGGGACAGGCTAGGGTCATTGTACAGTCACGAAGGTAACTCGTAGGATACTTTAGCAATTAACCTAAGGTATTAAGAACGTTTTACCGAGGCAGCATCGAAGGGTCATCGAGGGAATACGATATTTTAACCAAAGGATCTTTGCTAAAGCATCACACGCTCGAGAGACATGACTGTTTTAAATCTGAGTCAACAAGTGAGGGTCACCCTAGAGATGTGTGTGTAAAAAGTGTTTTGATGTTTCAGTTATTTGTCTTGAGATTAGGTTTTCTAACGTTCGATTTTAAGTCTTACCATGCAATCGTATTAAGCTAGCAGTTAAATATATACAAGTGCGGAAAATAAAAATGCGGGAAATAAACTACACTATTACAATGCTTTGGGGATGGGGAGTACAAACCATAAAAATGGGGAAAATGTAAAGAAGTCCTAATTTAAACTATTACACCTTTTTGACAGTTACAATATTGGAAAAATAATGCGAAAAGGTAAGCGAGCATGCGGAGATTGAAAAGGGAAAAGAACCCTAAAAAATTTTCTAAGTGTTTTAAGAAAAAATGTTTTTTGTTGTTTTATTGTTTAGAAAAAATATTTAAAGTGATTAAAACTAATTCTAGTTAATTTTTAATTAATAAAATAAAATCAAAGTGATTAAATTAAATTAATTTTACTTATCAAAAATTAAATTAATTAATCAAAACCCAAGTCTAATTTTTTTAATGATTTAATGATTTTTGTAATTTTTCTAATATTTTAAAACTAAAACAAAAAAAAGTAAATGATAAAACAAAAAAAATTAAATTACAATGGGCCAGAAATAAAAGTAAAGGGGGGGTGTAGAAAAGTGAAACAATCTTGGCCCAAATCAAGGAGCCCAGGTGATGCACTAGATCTGGTGAGGAAGATCCATGAAGACTCATGGTGAGGGCGCTGATCTGGAGCGTAAGATCTGATTGTATAATGATCTGATGGTGTTGATGAGGGGTGCATCATTGTGCGCTGGATTTTCTTGCATTTGATCCATGAAGAAAATGTCAGAAATAAAAAATTGTCTCATTCCTGGATCGAACCTAGAACCCAGCATATGAATGACTTAAGAACGCACGTGCTACCACTGGGGTGGCTTGTACATCTGGTACATTAATAAAACCAAACAAATATAATGTAAAATAAGTGCTAATGTCAACAAGAAAAATAAACGCGCGCACAAGTGGGCCCCTGCGATTTGAATGGACCAACCATAATGCTCCCACATGCCACGCGATCAGTCAACATTGTTAAACCACCGTCCATGGTGGTTTCCACCTTCTTCTCCAACGAGAAGAATTTTTGAAAACCTGCAAAACACAAAATCAACGCAAACAAGGTAACCTACCCCCCTTAAAATTTCCTCCTGAATCTGAATCTGGGATCTGTTTGGGCTAAAAGACCTTGTATCATGAAACCTGAAGCTTAAAAAGCTCCATGCCCTAACTATGGCATGATGTTATTTCTGCATCAACACTCGCATGTAAAACGTTAGAAAAATCTAGAAAATGTATATGAATCAAACAGGCATGTTCATAATCATTTAAACCATGATGAACTTTAAGAAACAAAGCTTACCCCCTTAGCAATCATAGTTGATGCAAGGGCAGCTTCTAGCTTGTTTCAGGATCGTGTAAGGGATGGAAATGACTCCTTTGATCCTCAAGGAGTGATTTATGCCCTTGGTTCGGATTGACAATGGTTGGAACCGTGGTTATGAATTTTACAAATTCTTTGGAATTTTGTGAATTTTAGAGATCTCTTTCAGGAAATTATCTCGTGTCTTTGGATTTGTTATGCTTGCCTTTATATAGAGGGATGAGTTATCTCAACAAATATCGCATGAGATCAAGCCATCAAACCATGGTTTAAACAAAAATCAAACAAATTGAAAACATGCAATTTTTGCATGATTCTTGCCTTCTTGGAGCTTGTACGATTTTGGCATTTATTTACAGGTTGTCACAAGTTATAATGGGCCTTAAGAAAGTCCAAAATGTGCTTGGCCCAAAGGTTTCTTATTTTATTTATTTATTTTTGAATTTATTCCAATAAAAACAACATAAATAATAATAAAATACAAGGCAAGATAAGAGTGAGCTTAGGGGTCTTCCATAAGGTCATGGACATGTTTGAAGTACAAAAAGTTAGGCCACAAATCCAAAATTTCAAGTTTGCACATTTTGCATTTCATGTATTTCTTCAAAATTTCCCAATTTGTGCAACTCATAACTTGCTCAATTTTCATCTTTTGAAGGTGATCTTGGAATTTTTGAAAAGATCAAGATGTTCTCTACAATTTCTATTTTGAAAATTTTTTCATTTGGATAATTTATCTTGATGTAAGTTGCCTTGAAAAAAAGTGTCTTTTTGTTGACTTTTGAAAATGACCTATAATGTATTAGCTCATATCTTTCAAATGAAACATTTTTTTGGACTTCAGCATAATTAAAAAGTTGTAGAGAATTTAATTTCCTTCAAAATGGGCTTTGGCCAGAGAAAATTTGATGAAGCATGTGAAAGTTATACTTGGTCAAAGTTCAGTTGACTTCTCATAAGGAAACCCTAATTTGACAATTCTTGACTTTTGATGATTTGAGGGCTTTCCTTGAGGAATCATGATCAACCCTTTATCAAATTATGAATATCACTTCAAAATGTTGATGTTTACAAAAAAATATTAAAGTTTGACTGCATGTTGACCATAGTTGACTCTTTATCTGATACAATTGATTTTCAATCATCAAAGCCATTGACTGAGAAAACTTGTGATGCAAGACTTAAAACTTGACACGAGAACTATTGAGGGACTATGACGAACCATGAAAGTCAATTGAGACCCTTGCAACCCAGTCTTCCTTGAGAAGCACCAAACCCTAGTTGTAGACCCTTGCTTAGGAGGAGGTTTGACTAGTCAACTCTTGAGTAGCTTGAGTTTATGAGAACCCTTGAAAGAATGCCCTGAAGAAAAATGGGAGGGAAAATTTTAGGGTATAACAGCTTCCCATGTTAAATATTCTTAAACCTGGAGATTTAGATTGACATGTCTTCCATTCGTGACTTAAAGGTAGAAGGGGATTGAACACTTAGGTGCCTAGAAATTTGCACTCGCCTGTGCAAGAAGTAATGCTACTGGTTATTTGTACTGGGAATGGGCTTATAGATGCAATTTAGAGAGCTCACGGAGAGTCGTTAGAAATGGGCTTATAGATGCCATCCAAAGTAACTGTTGACTTTGACTGGAAGAAGTATCAGAATATATCTAAATTTGATTTATTTTGAGCCAGAAGAGGTATCTGCCTGTCTTCAACTAGAAGTATCCGAATAAATATATGGTCGATTTAAACTGAGCCAGAAAATGTCTACGACTGTCTTCAACTAGAAGAAGTATCATAATAG